AATAATTATAATTAATGTAATATATTTATTCAAAGGAAATTTTAGATAAAAAATTGTCATTCGTGATAATAATTTAAAATATTAAAAATTAACTAAATAATATTTCCAGGAGTCATTTTAAAACGAAGCTAATAATTTGTATGAAAAATATTTATCAGAATTGAAACGGATGTACACTATCATTTGCTGTAATATTTTAATTCTCATAACTTATTCCATTTTTTTTAACATGTATTAGCTTACCTTTCACTTTGGTACCAATTAAGTTTACTTGTTCGTCATAAGACTGAACGATACGAAGGAATCTTATCCAATTGCACTGACGCTTGTTAAGGCTGTAATTTGAAAAGAAGACTTCATCGTAGCAGCCATATTCGCGTCTGATCTGAAATAAATCGCAGTTATGAAAAACTTGCTTTAAAACATTGTGAAAATAACCATTAGAACTGTTGTAACTGTAACTGTAACTGTCTGTATAAAATATTCTATATGATTTTTGATTTTTTTTATATTAAATAAAGACGAAATTATAAACATTTTTAATAGTATATATAATTATTAAATTAGAATTATAATTACATTAATAATTTATAAAAATATTTACTATCGAATAAATATGTGATATTATAAATTTCCTGTTTAAAGATTATAATAATAAAGTGAATTTTAATATTATATTTTTAACATTAGTTAATTAAATGGATAAAAATAAATTAACTATAAATATGAATATTAGTTTTTGAATATAATTCATGTTCATGTATACTATTTATATTATATATAATATTCACGTTCATGCATTTCGCATTTTTATATTTAATATAATCATTTATGGATCATTTTCCTCTTTTTATTCATCTTCTACTTACTGTTTTTTTACCATTACTAAAATTATGAAGATGAATTTTATAAGATTAATATTAACTCTTATTGAAATAGAAATATGATTATACCTATATTCCTTCATTTATTTACATTCTATTATTTTAATTATAATATTTATAATTATTTATGTATAAAATATTTACATACAGAATGCATAATACTTTAATATTAAAGCCAATAAAGAAATTGCATTATTATTAAGATACAACGATTTACTTAATAATAGATATATTAAAATAATTGGACAAATTTTACATAAATGTTAATGAAAATTGTAATATCTAATTAAAGAATACATTATTTCTATTTACTTTATTTATATTTCTAATATTAGATGTCATAAGATTCAATATGTAATTAAACATTAATATAATTTGTGGTAAATATAATTAGTAAATGTATTTCCTCACATAACTTGCGCTACAAAATGAATATCTGTGTTTTAAAGCATTTAAAAATTGATTAAAACAATTTGATTTTTTTATTTGTAACCGATATTTATGCTTTTATTTATAAAGTTATGTATGTTATGTATTTATGGTGAATTATAATAAATTAATTTTTTTTAAAATTTCATTTGTTATAGAATTTATAATAAAGATATATATTTAAGGTTCAAAACTCATAGTTGTTAACAATAAAATTATCATATAACAAAATAATTTAAATAAAAAAATAAAATATTAGTATTACAAATCTCACTGCATAAATTTTCGATTTAATGTATTAAGAAGGAAATATAGAATTTTCAAGATTTTCATGTTTTAATAATATCACTTTGTTTTAAATTAATTTATAATTTATAATTATGATATTAAGTCCATTCCATATTAATATATTTCATTCAATATATCCTATATCTTATCCACCCCCGTAACACTTAATTGATACTGCTGATAATGGGTTAATTTTATAATTACATATAATCATAAAAATATCTGTTTTATTTATATATTTAATTAAATGCTTTAAAATTTTTAATTATATTTTATATTTTATATGATGAAGATGAAAAATTGATTTTTATATCATATAATAATGTCATTGTTATATAAAATAAAATTAAATATTAAATTCATGAAAAGATATAAGTAAATCTCTTAGAGTTCTCTCTTATTAAAAAAAAACGCTAAAAAAATAATGTTTAATAACATAAATTGATTGAAAAAAAAAATCACGAATAAAACGTTGCTTTAACGCAACGTTGACCCTTAATGGGTTAATTTTATCACATACACCTGTATGTTCTCAGTAATTTTCGTTCATAATTACAATATTAAGGTACGAATTTCAATAATGTTGATTGAATGGAAAAAAATTGTAAATTAAACGTCTTAACTTGATCCTTAATCGGTTATTTTATCAAAAAAGTTTATTGATAGTATCAAAAATGTATGAAACTTGTTATGAAACTGTTCAAGCGTTAAAATAAATTGTAAATCGATACAGTATGCTTTCTACAACTAAAACTAAATGAAATTGGAATTTCCACCTACATGGTCTCAATCATGGAGTACAAATCTCAATTTAATTAAAAATTATTGAAATACCATATATTAATTAAAAATAAAATTAAAAAATGTTACGAATAATATTGAACGTGTTTTTTTAAAACTAAAAGAATATTCAAGATATCAAATAAGATATTTAAATAAATTTCAAAGAAAAAATTAATGGAAAAATTGCAAAAATTAGACGAAGATCCAAAATAAAACCATTACTTACATCATTGTCATCTAAAAGGGAGTAAAGGTCGATTTTGTCGAATCGGATGGATCCCTGAAAGGGGTAGATCAACGTCCCCGCCGGAATAAGCACGTTGGACCATACGGATATTCTTACGTCCGTAACTAAACTTCCTGAATCATTCTTGAAGAGTCCTTTATAGTTTGATCGATCGTTCGCAAGTGCCAATGAAAATTCTTTGGGTATCAGAACGCAGGTTTCCATAACAGAGGCCCCCTAAAAGGGATGCTTTGGGAATATCACAGCTATCGTTGTCTCCACCGTTGTAAACACTTTTCTGAACAGGCCACACGACAAAATCCTCGATTCTTTTCTACTGAACGTTTATTAACGGATAAATGGCCAAACGTCGATGTTTTTTTTTTTCAACAATCTTTACTAAAAACTTCGTTTTCAGTTAAAAAAATGGAGAACTGGAGTGACTACCAAAGGATAGTAAAAACAACTTTCTGAATCGAAAGAAGTTTTTATAAAAACTTTATAAAAGAAACAAGAATAATAACGATCTTAAATAAAAATGTTCGTTAGACGCCACCACGAAAAAAAAAATACACTTGAATATTTTTTTGATGCAATTAAAAGACACACTATAAAGAGCGCACTCGAAACTGTCCCTGTTCCCGATCGTTGTTTTCGTGTCCGCTCTCGGCTTAGATCTAGATGAGGAACACGATTTATCGATATGTATATTCCCTCCAGGTGAGAATCGAGCAAATTCGAAAATTAGAGCAAATCAAGTTCGGCTTGCGATGATCGCAAAGTGAAAATTTCAGTTGCGAGCGTGAGGGTCGTTCGTCCTCCAAGGTGCAAGGGCCTCGGCTGACTGGATAGGATTAACCGACTGATCTTGACCTTGCGACGGGTTACCAGCATTTGCTACCGAATGGGTAGCCCTTCCCCTTCTTTACCTCTTTTCCCACTCACAGTACATGGCCCGCTGCAGACTTTTTCAGTGGCGTAGATCTCTCTTTCTCATTCTGTTCTCATTAACAATCCCTTCCCTCCACCGATCCGTTCTTCTAGGATCGTTTAACGACACTTCCCCCTCCCATTTTTAACAACGATTATATTCCCCCCTCCTTTCCTCTTTCCTTTCCTCGAACTTCGGCCAAGTTTCGACCGCTCGTGCCTCCCGTAAAGAAACAGGCGTAAAGAAATAAGAACGTGTCGATGAAACAAAGTAGCCAAACAGTATACGCCAATGGATCTCTTTGCCCCACTATGTTCATCCTGTGGCGAGTGCACTTGGTGTATAGAACGAGTATCGGCTTCTTCACCATTACAAGGAAGCCGGCTCGTCGTCCTCGTCGTCGTCATCGTCGTCTTCTTCACCCTTCTACCGTCGCTGCAGCACCGTAAAGAGAGAACCCACGTGGGCGATTGGGCACCTGTCGCTCCCTGTGCCCTTTCCTTCTTCTTCTCACTAGCCGGCCACTCGTGTCCATCCTCTTCTACCTTCTTCCCTACCATCTTCCCGCTTCCACGCCCTACCATATCCTTTTATCCGCCGCTCTCCTGCTCCTCGCCATTTCTTCCACCTAACAGCCTTCTGGACTCTCTTATTTCTTTCTTTCGTCGCGTTTCCTCGGGCCTGCACCTTGGCGATCTTCTGCCAACCAACCGAGGCCTGCCTCCCTGATTCCACACCGTTCCATCTCGCTTCAACCTCTTACTTCTCTTGCTCATTCTTCTTTCCGTCCAACCTCTTTCCTCCTTCCTCGTTCTTCGGTCTCGTCTTCGTCCACTTTGCTTCGTCGCTAGCCGCCACTCTGATCTCTTTCTCTCACCCTTCCTCCTCTTCTCGTTCGCCGTTCGCTCTACCCGTCACCTGAAAAACCTCTCCTTTTATTCATTCGTTACGATCGAACGCTGCTACACCGAGAAATAAAGTTACGAAATCGATCGGGGGCCCAGTTTCGTATATTTCCCCACCTCTCCTTCCCTCACTCTCCCCCATCCCTCTGTCATTATCTGGTTTTTCGCCAATTAAAGCTTTTTAAAGACCGTGTCGTGAGAAATGTTCGATTAATACTCATGCGTTGAAAGGTTGATAAGTTTCAAAAATTTTTACTTTCTCAAGTAATTTTCTCAGTTTTTCAATTGAACCGGTTTTTTCAATATTTAACGCGACTGTTTTTAACATTGATATTTTTTGTTCCAAAGTTGAAAAAATTGTACACTCATGCATGTGAAATGATATAGATATATTATTAATTTTAATTCGTGAATAATAAATTTAAATTGATAAAATTTGAATTAATTATATTATAATTATATATAATTATATGATAATTAATAATAATTTAATTATTATTATTATATAATAAACTGTGTTCTATTTTTAAGAAGTGATTGTTTAATATTTTGATCTATCTCCGATTGTTTGCTCTTGTAATTATTATTTGCTCTTGATCTGTAGTTGTTTCGGTAGTTGTTTGATCTTCAGTAGTTACTTCGGTAGTAGTTTGATCTTCGGTAGTCACTTGATCTTCAGTAGTCACTTGATCTTCGGTAGTCACTTGATCTTCGGTAGTCGGTTCTTCTTCAGGAGTTTCTAGTTCTTCGGGAGTTTCTATTTCTTCTACGATTATTGTAGGAATTTTAAATAATGGTTCATATCGTGTAGGTCTTGGACTTCTGACTACGTCGGTTAAATCAATTATCCTTCTTCCACTTTCTCGAATTCTAATTCAAAGATAAATTATATATCATATATTATATCTATTTATTTTAAAAAGATAATTGATTTTCAATCATCAAATTATTATATTAAAGATATTATATTATATGAATTAAATGACAATGTATTAAAAAGGTATATTAAATAGAAGGAACTAGTGTTTTTAATATATATATACCTTATGTAGTAATAAGATCCTAAAATTATAATACCGACTAAAATTAAGAAAAGAATCACTACAAAGACAACAACATAATCTTCGTTTGGTAACCAACCAAAAAAGAAACGTGTTGCTTCATCTTCCATTAAGTATGTACGCCAATTTGGTGGTCCTAGAACTTATAATAATATACGTAGTATTAAATTAATTGATTAAAAGGATATTATATAAAATATAATAATTTTAAAAATAGAGATTGATATAATAATAGCATATATTATTACATTATATGCAATATTTTTACGTATAATTATATAGTATTAATATGTAATAATAATGTATATAAATATATTTTAAAAAATTTTAAACTTAAATTTATTATTATATTTAATACTATCTACTAAAAAGGTAGTTCACTATATTATCATAAGCAGATAAATTTTACAAAAATTTTTTATTTCAACACTGTTTTAAATTTAAAAAATTTTAAATCATTTCTGTAAGAAATTGTGAATACGTGTAAATAACCATGCGAAATTCATTTAGAGAAAATCTTCAAATAATAACACCCTTAGAAGATCTCGAATATAATGTTACTCACACTATTACCGGTTTTTCCGGTTCTTGCAAGTTTCTACCAAGACCCGTTTAATAAATTATGCATATATTAAAAATGTATATGATCTTATGTATAATAATTTTAGCCAAAATATATTTTTTATATAATGTTCTTTTATCTGCATAGGGTTAAATAAAGAGCTAAGAGAGTGCCATCTCGCTTGAAGAAGGAACTTTAACTTCTAATTTTTCTCAAGATGATATAGGAAATATGTCACGCAATAAAATAAAAATTAAAAATCTTTAATTTTAATATTATTATGACACTATTTTTTATAGAGCTATGATGTAATAATTAATTACCTTTAATATAAATCATATTTGTTATCCATTCAAAGTTCAAATCGTTTTGCTTCACGATGCATTGCCACATTCCATTATATGTTTTATTAATTTTTGTAAGTTGTTCGATATCGGCGGCAATGGGAAGTGTAATACCATAATCTTTAAACGTTTTATTACGTACTAGCCAGATCACTTGAAGCTCTGAATAAATATGTCCTAAGATTGCACAATGACATTGTATGGTAGTGTCCAGAGTTTCCCTGACTTTTAAATTTTCTTTCTCTGGAATAACCGCTAAAGTTATAACTTTGATGATCGAATATTTTCCATCAACTCGACGCAGTGTCATTGCATAAACGCCAGAATCATTTAAAACAGCTTTTTTTATCTCTAAATAAATATATTATCTATCAATTATTGAATATTATATTTAAATAAATATATTATCTATCAATTATTGAATATTATATTTAAATAAATAAATAAATATATATATATATATATATTAATAATTTCTAAATATATGATAAATATATGAAAAATAAATATATAACAAAAAGTTTGAAATTTCTGTATTTTTTCAATGAATATAATTAACTGAAAACATACGCTTAAATTATTTAAAAAATTGTAATAATATATCAATAAATGAGAATAAATTAATTTTTACCAATGTTATTATCTTTTAATTCCAACCTATCGGGTTCTATTTCTATAAAGATACCATTTAATGACCATTGTAATTCAGAACGAGGAGATTCTGTAATGATAGATTTAACAATATCCTCATCGGATTTAAGTGTAATTGCATTGTTTTCTTTTACTGTAAGAGATGTATAATTTTTTCGAATTCTTCGATTTATTAAAGTTATTGTATCTGTAATAAAATAAAACATAAATCATTATCTTTATAGATATAATATTAATTTTAAGTTATATATTTTTTTACACTTATTTTAATAAATATTTTATATTTATATTTAAAAAATAGATGAACAAAGTTTATTGCGACATCAATTATAAAAAAAAAAAATATATCAATTAATTATAACTATTATAAAATATAGCTAGATTAATAGCACTATACCTTCAATAATAAAAGTATAATATAGAAGAAATAAATATAATATAGAAAAAAATATATAAATTATATTATTTTTTTATAGAATGCTTTAAAATTTCTTTCTATCTTTTTCATGAGTTAAAATTTTGTTTGTTTTTTAAACCATTATATTGTCACTGACGTGTCAAAGGATTCATATTACATGTATATCATATTATATATTATAACCATTTTATGTTCTGTGAATTCATTATTTCAGATATATATTATAAAACTAAGAATATAATATTTATATTTTTTATATTAAAGATGAAGACACAAAACATATTATAGTTTTGAAAGATAAATGATGAAATAATGAAATAGAATAGTTTAATTGATATTCCGTATCTTGTCTGTGATCATGCGGCAAGAGCAAGTATAGACAAAGAGAGCAAATAATAAGAAAAGGACAGAGATAAATTAAAAATTGTGATATCAGCGCCATCTTTAGAGTGCCGCAAATGAAACTGATAAACAAGGAGAGCAAATAATAGAAAAAGGATAGAAATAGGAAGAATTGACAATCAGCGCCATCTCTCTAATATTAACGACACTTTTTTAAGAATAGTTTCTAGGAATAATAAAGAGATGGCGCTAATTCTCAATTCCCATTCTACTTTATTCTATTTTGGTATTTGAGAGATGGCAGTAGTTATTAATTCCTACTCTATTTCATCTTACCTTTGCTATTTAAGAGATGGTATTAGCAGTCAATTCTTATTCTTCCATATCTACTACTACTTTTTCAAAAAAGTGTTGCTGATATATAAGAGATGGCGCTAATAGTTGATTCCTACTTTATCTCTGTCCTTCTCTTATTATTTGCTTTCTTTATTTATATGTGTTTCATTTGCGGCACTCTGAAAATAGCGCTGATTTCATAATTTTTAATATATCTCTATCCTTTTCTCACTATTTGATGTCTTTGTCTATATGTATAAAGAGACGATGCTAATATTTAATCAATTAATTATCTTTTTACATAGCCTATTGATTAAAAATCATCACAGAATTTATTCAATCATATTTTTATATATCATAATATATAACATATATATCATATCTTATATATCATAAGTGTTTATATATTTTTTTTATATATGTATTAGGCAAAATTTAATATAATAATATTAAAAAGTTAAATATTTTTTATATAATTTTGTTTCATGTATATGAAACAAAGGCTAGAAAATGCAAAAAACGAACTCTAATTTTAAACGTTGTATCGATTCATTAATCATTAGCTATATAATTTATCTATATAATTTAACTAATTTTCAAGTAGATTTTTAAATAATTAATATAATTTCTATTCAATAATTATTAAGCATCATGCGATCATCTTTATTTTCGAATAAAATAAAAACGTATAAACAAACCTTCAGTTATATCACCACAAATTATTTCATTACAACGTCCAATCATTCTACTTGGCCCCACACATGGTTCACCCCTAAAATTAGGTTTTGGAGAATCACAACGCCGCTTTCGAACCCCTGTACCACCATTGCAACTTACGCTGCATGCCCATGGTCCCCATTCTGACCAACCTCCATCAATTGGTGGTCCATCTATATCTTTTTAACAAGTTTATCTTTATTAATTTATTTTCCTTTTATTTCTATATGTTTTTCAATAGTTTCAAATTTTTTTTATCTTATAAAACGCATAACGTTGAATATAATAAATAATTAATTTTAAATAAATAAATATCTCTTATAATACCTAATAAATAAAATTCTCAATAGATAATTATTTAATAATACAATATTTAAAAATACAATATTCTTACCTATTGGCATACAATTGGCAGTCCAAGTAACCCAATGTGGCGGTTCAACTCCGACAGAAAAGAAATAAAATATGAGAGGATTTTTATGTTGATAATGAAACACATTTGTTGAATTAGAATAAATATCTATGATATGCTCAGACCATCTATGAATATTTTTTATTAATGAATCATAAAACTATTAATTTATTAGATCATTCTATTAATTCTTTAATTGTTTACTTTATTGTAATATTGGTCCATGTATTTTTTGTAAATAAATTTACTTGTGATCTTTGTTTATGATAAACTGTCACATTAGGAAACGTAGTTTTTGTAAACCATATCCAACGTTCTGGATTATTAATTTTAAGCACATAGTATCTATTAAAAATCAAATTATTTAATTAGTATTAAAAGATATTCTATCATATTGTGATAACAAGAAAGATAGATTATGAAAATTTAACATTTTTTGTTAAATTTGACAATATAAAAAAGTTAGATCTTTTTATGTAACTTACAAAAAGCCAATTTACCCTGGAATTGCAGGCATCTGATATAAAGGTATAAGAACTCCACCATCTCCACGCATTTGAAAAGTTATGTGTTCAGGAATTATTACTTCTTTTTCTATCCATGTTGATAATGATAAAATTCTCGTGTATCGATCAGTTTTCGTGTTTTCTATATGACAATCTATTTTTCATAAATATTTTAATCGTGACACAATAGTGACACAAATTGTATACGAGATGCAATAACACTAATTTAATAAACTCTAAGATAAATCTAGCTACAAAGTTAAAAATATATATATTAACAAGTTAAAATAAAAATTGAATGTAAACGTTATACTTCCTTGTAAAATATTCTTATTCTATAGAATTTTTATCTTTGAGAAAGATTTTTACTTGATAAAATAAAATAATAAAGATAGAAATAATGGTGATAATTAAAAATAATAATTGGATGAGTTATATTTACTTAAATCACGATCGAAAGCGAAACCTACAGCATTCCCCACTTCGGTACCATAATAATAATACATAGGTAGAAAAGCAATAGAGGGATTAGGATTAATCCATTCAAATATAGGTGTAGGATCATCTTCGTAAAATAATAAAAATTTTCCTCGTGGTATTTGAATTATAAAGCTGCTCCATTTTCCTGTGTAAAGTAAATGGGGCAAAGTTTTCCTTTTGACTAAGGAAATATCTGTAATTAAATAGATTTTGCTTAGAATAAAATAATCATAATAAGAAGAAAAAAAAATTAAAAAAGCATAGAAAAAGCGAATATTATTTACGGAATAACAATTTTTATAAACATTAAATTAGATAATCGATTGAATTAATATTCGCCTCTTCAATTACGTGAATTTCTTCTTATCTGATTTCATGTTCAAAAGGATAAATTAACTTAAAAAAATATTAATTTTTTCGAATTATAATTCTTTTCATGTGTAATTAATTAATATTTATATTATAAATTGTTATATTTACATATTTGAAGATTAGAATGAATTAATTTATTTTTTCTTACTTATTTTTTTATTTCTATGTTTGTGTTTTTAAAAAACAGTTAAAAAGAAATTCATTTATTAGAAAAAAAAATATGATATTATAAATCCGAATATAAAAAATTTATATATGAATAATTTATATATGTTAATTACGTGATGTTTCTGATTGATAATAAAGCAGCACTTTTTCATTATCCAATGTTCCTATTTTCAGAATAAAACGCGATTTGAGTCCATCTTCGGCTAAAAAGATAATGGAGACGGTATCTCGATCATCGGGTTCCCAAACTTTCAGAGAAAAATGTAAACCTTCGGAACGATATTCGGGTAAAATAAATAAACGTCTACCCAAGCTATCCTCTCTGACAAGAACTATAAACTCTTCTGTAAATAATAATTATTGTTAGTAATTAATCATTAATTCTATTCACTATTTTAAAAATTTTAAATAGATAAACAAAATCTATACAGTAAAAAACAAAAATCTGAGTAAACAGATAAAATTAACAGATTAAAATAAACTTTTCTCTAATTCTTTTTCCATCAATGAACCAATATTTACCTGGTTTATCACAGTCTCTAACATTGCAAAGATCTCGTGGTAGGGAAGGATCAAAAGTGTAACACCAAGTACCACCTATATTGCGCGATGGATTTCTGCAATAATTGCTAGCGTTCAATGCACTTCCATCCGGATAACGGCTGTCATTGAAGATCTCTTGGCCGGCAATTCCAATGAGTTTAGGAGTAAAAGGAAGTCCTGGACGTTTTGGCGGTTGTGGAGAGCGTTGTAGTAAGTGATAGTATGGCCTTAATTCTTGAGAACTCTCGATGGCAGATCTGATAGTACGGGCCCTACTCTCTTTGGGCATCGGTGGGGGGATTGGCCAGGAGATACAAGTACGTCCTGAACGTGTTTTTATAAGTTTTCCCATGTAATCGTTCGCGGTTCCTGCCATTCGACATTCTAAAAATTAGGAAGCATACAATTTTCCACCCTCTTTTTTTTATAATTTATAATTTTATTGTTTTATCATACATTTTGCAAATATTTCATTTTTCTGGAAATTTTCACAATCATGTCAAAAAAATGATAAATTTTTATACGTTTATAATGTAATAAAATATTGTTTAATTACCTATCGATCTACATTTTCGTATCTTACAATGTCGTTTCGTGATGGTTTCGCTTTCCCAAGGAGTGTACGCGTAACAATAGGGACCTTTGGGATCATGAGTGGGATTTCTACATTTATTAAGAGCCTTCAGAACGGATCCATCGATGAATTTTTTATCATCCTTAATTTCCGATGGAACCTTATTAAAAATAAAGCATGTCAGAGCAACATTCAAAGCAACTTTCGTATATTTCTTACGTCTTTTGATATCCATGGAATACATGGAATTTCGTTAATGCTTGTCCACTGTGTACCTTTGTAATCGTAATCTTTTAAATCAGAAAGACAATTTGGTGGCCAAGGATCTTCTACAGCATCCGATT